TGGGGCACCACGCCATAGCCCCAAAGTCCACCTTCAGCATTCCCTGCAGACCTCGCCGCTCCATTTCCTTGATGTTCTGTTGCACCCCCTTAATGTTTTGCCTCGGTGTGGTGGAATCAGATCAGGTGCAATTCCCACACTGTGTCTCCAGTGTTGTCCCCTGTAGGGCTATGGGTCAGTGAGGGACATCTTGTCTCATAGGGGGGCAGGCCATATGGTCCTCTCTGTGGACAGGCTGCTCTAATTGGGAACATCGTCCTCACGGCCTGGTGGGCCAGGATGTCATACACAGTATTTCAGTACAGACACACACTCTCTGTACTTGTGGCCTTGAGGATTAGTAATAAATGATGTACACAAGCAACACATCAAGTAACTCGCTCTGCAATACCAGTGGCGAGCACACTTCTGCATACAAAGCACAGATCTCAGAACCAAACTTCCTGCTATTGAGCCAAATCTGACTCATGGAGACTCTATCAGACAGAGTAGAAATGCTCCTTCAAGTTTCCAAGGCTGTAAATGTTTGCAGGAGCAGAAAGTCTCATCTCTCTCCTGCAGAGCAGCTGGTGGGTTCAAACTGCTGACCTTGCAGTTACCTGCCCAACATGTAACCCACTACACCATGAAGATCCCTGAACCAGGCACAAAAGCCAAACTAAACCAAACCAAACTCACTGCTATGGAGTCAATGCCAAATGTGATTCCATTTCTACAAAGTTCATGGACAACAAAATCAGTAAGCTCTGGTGTTAGAAGTTGAATCACCCTTGAAGGGCAGGAAATGGTCATTTGAAGAGGACTTGGAGGAAAATTCTGGGGTTACTAATCTTAGCCTGGCTGATACTGCCATTGCATGGTTTAAGGACTGGCTCTATGGATGTGCTGTGTATTTTTGAAAATTTATGATGGGACTTCAAAAAATTTGTGAGAAAATTGCATTTTTAAAAAACTTTCCATAAACTTTTGGAAGCTATTCCATATCTAGCTGTACACATGGTTTGGGAACTTTATTGTTCATAGGTGTTGTACATTAAAAAAATGATTATGGGAGCCTACTGATACAATGATGAGAGCCCTTAGCTCTTAACCAAAAGGTCTGCAGTTCAACCCCACCTGCCACACTACAGGAGAAAGTTGTGGGTGGCAGCCAGCTTTGTATTATGGAATACATATTAAGGATGTGGCCTCTGTCTTCATAAGCTCAGTAGGTTAGTAGAGGAAGCAAAATAATCTGAAAGTAAATAACCGAATTATGATTTCACAAGAATTGGTAACAAGCTATGATAGAGAATAATGGAGGAAGGAGTCTACAGAGTAACATGGTCAAAGAAAGGGCTTCTCTGAGAAAATCTTTTTGCTGACACCCAGGGGATGGAAAGGAATCGGTGGTGCAAAGAGCAGAGGCAGACAGGTCAGGGGTCTTAATAGTGGCTGAGAGTAAAGAAATGAAGAGAATTTTGTGCATTTCAGGTAAGAGGACATTTTGCTGGCAGAGGGTTGCTGTTAATTGTTGTCACGTCAGCTCTGCTCGTGATGACGTATGTGTGCTGAGTAGAACTGCTCCGTGGGGTTCAATGCTGTGACTTTTGGAAGCAGATGGCCAGGTGTGTCATCCGAGAAGCCTCTAGGTAGGTTTAAACAGCCAGTGAAGTGCTCAACCATTTGCCGCTGCCCCCAGGGACTTCCCAGACATAGAGTATTAACTTGGGAGTCGGTGTTGTAAAAACTGGCACAGAAAGAACTAGAATGGAAAGAAATCGGATTTGGGTTGGTAGTTTAAATCAGTTCATGGAATGGCCAAAGTGAATAGTTTGGTAAGAGGCTTTTCAACATCAGCATGAGAGGAGAGAAAAATTGTGATATTGAGCTGAAAGGAAAATGTAGTCTAAAAGGAAGCACATTCCCCAGTTAATTTTTGAAACAAGGGAAGTATTATTACACTGAGTTAATGGAGTCGAGGTTACAGGTTGAGCTGCTTACTGAAAGGTCAACAGTTCAAAACCATAGGATGTACCTCGGGTGGGAGAAGAAGGAGGCTTGATAATGAGAATATTTGAGTATGGTGAAGAGAAAAGTGTCATGAACTCCCAGTTTGTCGAAGGCTATGGAGGACGGTGGGAGCCCCTAGCCCATCTACAGAGTATCATCTGTCTCAGACGGAGCCGCTGGCAGATCTGTTCTGGCCCAGTGGTTCTCAACCTTCCTCAGGCCGTGTGACCCTTTCATCCAGTTTCTCATGTGTGGTGGCCCCCAAGCACAGAATTATTTTCATTTCTACTTCATCACTGTCATTTTGCTACTGTTATGAATTATAATGTAAATATTTGATATACAGGATGTATTTTCATTGTTACAAATTGAACACAAGTTAAACATAATTAAAGCATAGTGATTAATCACAAAACAATATGTAATTATATATTGTGAAGTATCTATGTGCTTTCCGATGGTCTTAAGAGACTCCTTTGAAAGGGTCGTTTGACAAACCCCCCAAGGGGTCGCGACCCACAGGTTGAGAACTGCTGTTCTAGCCAAAGGCAAGAGTCTGAAACAGTCTTACTATCAGGCAGAGACCATTGTAATTTTGATCATGCTGGATTGAACTCGGTACTTGGGCAGTTGACCCTCCTGCAGACACAAACTGAATTTATACCTGGGGCAAGTTTCTCTTACCTGTTCCATGACAGAAATTTCCTCCCTGACTTTCTGAATGTTGACGGGGTCTTTACCTTCTTACGCACATTTGTATTTTTGTCTTTATACTATTATGAGTTTAGCCTTACCACCTTAGTACGATTTTGTTTTTTATTATTTTCTGTTGGGTTTCCCAGCAGTGAAACACAGGAGTGGATACATAATGAAATAACTGACACAAGGGGTCATAGGGAATGCAGGGGTGGGGTGGGCGGTAGGGAGGGAAAGGGGATTTGGGGAGTAAATAATGAAGGCGGTAGGGAAGAGGGAGCACTAGAACTGATTGTGACTGCACAGCTCATGTGAAAGGCATTTTTTCCAATGGGGGAGGGAGTATGCTCTAAGATTGATGTGGCGATGACTGTTCAATGCCCCTTGATATGATTGAACAATTGGATTATTGAATTGTGTGATATGTAAATTATGTGCTAATGAAACTTTTTTTTTTGGGGGGTGCAGCTACAGCCTGAGAAACCCATGGGGCAGTTCTAGCACGACCTATAGGGTTGCTGAATCGGCATCAACTGAAGGCATTGAGTTTGGTTTTTGGTTGGTTTTGTTTGTTTGTTTGTTTGTTTGTTTGAGAGAGATCTAAGTAGTAGAAGAGTTTCCCATGGGTTTAAGTGAAATTTGGGGTAAGTAAAATTATATTGACATATGAGAAAAGTTTTAACTAGACAATTGGGGATAGATGGAATCACCCTTATTATCACTTAGTTCAAGTCACTGTCTCTGTGTTGTTTTCTTTCTCCTTTTCACCTTCAAATGGTTTATCATCCAACACATGGCATGGCGATGATTCATATATTCTTATTTACGAGGAGTACGTAAAGCCCTGTGGTGCAGTCGTTAAAAGTACTTGGCGGATAACCAAAACATGAGTGGTTCAAACCCACACGCTGCTCCTCAGGAAAAAGATGTGATATGTAACCTGCTGCCATAAAGAGTCCCGGCCTGGGAAGCCCTGGGGCAGGTCTGCACTGGTCTGGAGGTAGCTCTGAATTGCAAGCGACTAGAGGGCAGTGCATAAGTGTTAGGAGTAATAAAATATATGAATGTGTTTCCCTTTACTTGGATTTGAAAGTAATTTTATACTAAGAATTTTTAGATAGCTTCTGAAGTAATTGGAACCTTCCTGGAGTATGGCATATCCAGCCTCTCAATCATAATTATCTGTAATTTCTTATGTTGTCTTATGTACTAAAATTTTGGAAAAGACATGATTTTGATGCAAGCGATTAAAGAAATTTTAGTGGTCCAAGATCTCACTAAAAATGAAGTAAGCAAAACCCTTGAAGAAAAACCATATGCCCCCTCCCGCCCCCACCAACCCAAATAAATGAAGGTTAAGCACTTAGCTTAATTCCCACCCCTTGCTTTCTTCCTGACTTCCTCTGTCTGTCTCAGTGATACTACTGTGGTGGTTAGCTGAGTCCACTCTGTGCCCTGGCAAACTTATGTGCACAGTAAGATGACACATTGCCTGCTGCTCATCATCCCCACAATCACCAGCATGCCGACGGAGCCCATCGTTGCCACAGTTGTTCCATCTTTCTGACAGTCGCCCATGCCCTTGTTGGTCCTCTACTTCACCAAACCTGGTGTGTGCAAAGCAGGCAAGGCAGACAGTGTCCTATTGTGATTTGTAAGGTTTTTCTTGGCTAATTTTCACATGTAGACCACCAGGACTTTCTTCTTAGTGTCTTAGTCTGGAAGCTGGGTTAACAGCTGCCCACCATGAGTGGCCCTGTTGGTAATTGAAATACTAGTGGTCTTGCTTCCAGCATCATAGCACATGCTTGCCACCACAGTACAGCACCTTAATACCACTACCAGTGAGTAAACATTGGAAAAATAGAAGGTAAATTCTAATCACTATTTTTGCTTGTTTAATTTATAAGTAGCTCTATGGGAGATTAAGAAGATTGACTAATATGAAGTTGTTAGGCTTTAATTCATTGCCTTTGAAAGTTAAGATATGGGACATTTTTATTAAAGTTTTGAATGTTAAAGTAAATCGTTCAGTAAGCATGAATGCTTGTTGTGCTTGTCTTTGCTAGTAATTCCTTAAGGTAACAGCTCAGTCAGCAACTTCTGGCCTCATCCACTGTCTGGAGGTGGCTATGTGAAAGAGTGACTGTTCGTTTATTGTTGCCCAGGGAAACTTCTTAGAATAGCCTACCTGCTAGCTATTTTGAGGGGTAGAAGGACCCTGGGATGTCAGGGACATAGTCATGTGCCAGACTTCTTCATCAAGGCATTTAACCCCCCAATTTTCCTCTCCTCTGTTTTATTTGCCATAGAGTGATTCTCATCAGTTCCGTGTCATGGCAGCTGTCCTTCGCCATTGTTTACTAATCGTAGGTCCAACTGAAGACAAAACAGAAGAGCTGCACAGGTGGGTAACCTCTGTATTGATCTCTCAGCGTGGGCCATCATCAGTTGTGTTTAGGCTTCCACTTTCAATGTTTTAAGTACCAGAACATGAAAAGGTTGCAGTAAATCAGGTAGCTTGGAAATCACCACAATGCCTGGTGAGAAATACAGCAGATTATTTCATTCTGCCCCTTTGACTTTGTTATTTGTAACCCCAACCTGAGAAGAGAATTTGGTGTTTGTTGCATTCCAAGATTAAAATCCAGAACACCTGGAATCATAGTTACCAAGTACTTACTATGTGTAGCATGCTGCTACGTACTTTTTAGATTCACTGCTCTTCATTATTACAGTAGCCTTATATGATAGGTATTCCTGTTTTCCCCTTTCCATAAATGAGGAAACTGAGGCTTAGAAAAATCAAGCTATTTCTTTGAGCCCTAGCCCTTAAAGTAGAATATTTGAACAGTGCTATTGATAATTACTTCACTTTAGTAATACTTTCATTTCTTCTAATTAAACTGATTTCACTGAGCATATTTACCAAAAATATGTTTTAAGCAATGATAATGTAAAAAATGAAAAAGAACTCACAACTTCTAGAAATTGGATCACAATCAAGTATTAACATAAAGTACAGTTCAAGTTTTCCAATTTGTTTATAAGAGCTATTAATGGAATGCTATTAAAGTTTGTCTTTCTGACAGCAACTGAATAAGAATTATTGTATTTTTCTAGTTTGCTAACATTCTGTTCCAGATCAGATTTGAGGACTAAGGCTTGTGACTTCATCATAGACTGTTCATGGTGCTTTTTATCTATGAAAGTATAAATGGCTTTTAAAAAAATTCAAATAAGTAAATCTGCAAACAGATAACTTTGGCATTAGTTGTATTCTACAAGCAAATTTAACATAAGCTTTTTCTTAATAACAGAAATAACTTCTTGAGCACTTGAATACTCTATTTCCTAAAGTGTAGCTTAAATGAAAGTTTATAAAAACACAGAGTGTAAAGTTAATATACCTGTAATTGTTGTTTTCAACTTCTTACTATTTTCATTATTGTCAGTAATTTTTTATTTGACTTGTACTGAGTTTATGGGTAGGTTATCTTTTATGTATATGCACACAGCCCTGCAAATTTTTGAAAGATTGTTTCCTTAATAACTAAAAGTGTACCCTTTTCTGTAGCTACATACCTGATATCCCTTTCATTTTCTTGAGATTGCGTCTTTAAAAAATAGATTAGCTGAAATACAGAATTTGCTCTTAAAAGATTTTATTAAACATCTTGACCCAGTATAATATTTTCCCCATAATCAACAAATATTCGGGACATAAAGACTAAAACAAAAAGGAAAGTAGTTCATATGCCCAGGAGTAAGCTAGTTCTGGGGTGGGTGGAATGGAAGGTTCATTATTATGAGTTAAACAACATGACAGAAGTGTGAGAAAAAAGATTTTTACAAAATTGCTATGCGCTTCACAAATATATTTCTAAACAATTCTCAGAATTTAATATTTTAACATAACAATCAATGTTTGTCACCAGAGTACACTATGTAGATTTTAAATCTGGTTTTTTAAAAGTAATTAAAATGTTTTCTTTTGTCAGCGTATTTTTTTTCTTAAAACTTGCTTTTATCTGAAAAGTTACTTTGATAAAATAGCTATTTGTTTCACTGTAAGAAGCACGGGGGTGGAGTGGGGTGAGTAATTACTAGAGCCACAGACAGAATTTATGAGCGTTCGTCAGAGGCTTTCCTTTAGAAGTGATAAACTGCTGCTGACTTAACAGTTTATCTGGAATGGCCTTGCTGTTGGGTTGTTGTCAGGTGCTGTTGGGTCACCTGTTGTTGGGTGCCATTGAGTTGGCTTCGACCCATAGCAACCCTGTGCACAACAGAACACTGTCCAGTCCTACACCACTCTCACAACTGTTCCAGTGCTTGACCCCATCGTTGCAGCCATGGTGCCAGTCCATCTCCTTGAGACAGCCTTCCTCTCCTTTGCCGCCCGTCTACTTTACCAAGCATGGTGTCTTTCTCCAGGGACTAGTCTCTCCTGAAATCATGTCCAAAGTATATATGATGAAGTCTCACCGTTCTTACCTCTAAGGAACACTCTGGACATACTTCCAAGACAGATTTGTTTGTCCTTTTGGCAGCCCATGGCGCTTTCAATATTCTTCTCTTCACCTTGACATATAGTGACTCTATGTACTATAGTATGAAACACTGCCCATTTGTGTGCCATCCTTAGAATTACTGCTGTGTTTGAGCCCATGGTGTAGCCACCAGGATCAGCCCAGCACCTTGAGCATCTTCCTCGTTCTCACTGACCTTCTATTTTACCCTGTATGACACCCCTCTCCAGGGACTGGTGCTTCTTCCCAACATGCCCTAAGTACATGAAACAAAGTCTTGCCATCCTTGCCTCTAAGAAGATACTAACTTCCGAAACAGCTGTGGTCTTTCCTCACCTACGCTATGATTCAAGTGTGTCAATTCTTCGGTTTTTTATGAGGCCTTTAGGGTTGTATCCTTTCACCATAATTCTTCAATCTCTATGCTAAGCAAGTAATCAAAAAAGCTAGATTATGTGACAAAGATCATGGCATCAAGGTTAAGGGACACCATTCAAATACCTGAGACATGCCACTAACACAACTCTGCTTGCTGAAAGTGAAGAGGACTTCAAGCACTGATCACTATCAAAGGCTACAGCCTTTAGTATGGATTATGCTTCTACATAAAGAAAGCAAAAATTCTTCACAACTGCACATGTGCATGGCAGGTTAACAACATCATGATACACAGAAAAAGTTTAAACTATCAGTCACAGATTTCATTTTAGTTGAATCGACAAAAAAATGCCCATCAAAGCAGCCATGAAGAAATCAAATGCCTATTGCATGGGCGAATCTGCTGCAAAAAAAAAAAAAAAACCCTCTTTAAATTGTGAAAAAGCAAAGATGAAGATGCACCTGACCCAGCCATGATATTTTCAATCACCCTCATGCATGTGAAAGCTGAGCAGTAAATCAGAAAGACCAAAGAAGAAACGATGCACGTGAATTATGGTGCTCACAAAGAATAGCGAATATGCCAGAGCTGTCAGAAGAAGAAACAAATCTGCCTGGGAAAAGTGCAGCCAGGATGCTCCTCAGAAGCACGGATTGCTAGTTTGTCTCATGTAATTTGGATGTTTTATCAGGAGGAACCAGTCTCTGGAGAAGGATGTTTTGCTTGGTCAAGAAGAAAGTCAGTTGAAAACAGGAAGGCCCTCAGTGAGGTGGATTGACAAGACTACAACAAGCGCAGGGCCAGAGCCGATTTCATTGTATTGTGCTATTGTGCATGGGGTCACGATGAATTAGACCCAGCTCAGCAGTACTGAACGACAGCTCTAACACTGCAAGATCTCCTCTCAGTTCTGTTCACCTGTAGTGACCTTAAAACAGTTTCTGGTTATGGATGTTTAAGCCGTAAGTTTGGAGAAAAGAAGGGATGTTTCAAAGTAATATCTCATTCCATTTTTCAAAGTTATTTTTAAAGTTTTTAAAATCTTTTTGACACTTGCTTTGTTTAAGGAAAATGTAATGAGATAGGTGAGCCTGGACAGTGTAGTTTGTGGTTACTCATTATCATCAAACGTACAGGCTTGTGATGATAACTAAATTAGAAGCCTTCTGAGCCTGGATTAGATCACAGTGTGCTACTTCTGCTTCTCATACTGTTACTATGATAGGCATAGTGGGTTTTAGAACCCATATTTCTAATTCTGTTTTTAAAGCTGTTTCTCGATTTTGATGCTTTATTTATAAACTTATTTCTATATTTATCCTTTGGCCACATTGCGAAATCTGCTTTCTATTAATCGGTTTTTCTGAACCAGACATGTCCTATGGTGCATGCATGTTAAGAATCTATAAAGGTGTTCCTTTTTCAGATATGTTGACTCTGTAAAACAGTGCCTTTCCTCACCACCACCACCCACCCGAAATCAAAAGCCCATGGACATAGCAGTAAAATGAGTTAACCCAGTCTGTTCCACTAAGCAGCATCATAGGGATTCCTGGTCTTGTAGTAAGTGGGTTATGCTTTGAGCTGCTAACTCCAAGGTCAGCGATTCAACTCCACCAGTCACTGCACAGGAGAAAGACAAGGCCATCTGCCCCTGCAAACAAGTGCAACCTCAGAAATCAAAGGGGCACTTCACCTGTGTGGTCAGTAGAAATCAGAACCCACTTGATAGCAGTGGACCAGGAATCCACATCCTAAATTGTTACAAAAATTTAGTGTGTTTCTTTTTGGTCTCTTCTGGAGATAGTAAGTAGACTGATAGTTATAGGCCACTTTTTTTGTTACATTAGAAGACATCTTAATTCTATTCATCTCTGCCTGAAAGTACTTTCAGGCCTCCTAAGAATAATCAGTGAGTTAAGGCATGAACACTTAGACCAAGAAAGTTGAATGTGGATATGCTTTTATGTTGGAGAGAAGGTGGAGGCAGCTGGCTATACATTGGTGAGAGGGAAGGACCAACCCTCTTGCTTGTAGGCTCTCTAGTTTCTTTCTTTCACTGAGCATACTTTCCTCTTAAGTATGGCTCTAAAATCTATTTATCTCCCTGCTTTTTTGTTCTTGTTTATTATTTCCTTAGGCAAATTTATTTTCCATGTCCCACCTATTGAGGACAATGTAGTACCTAATTACACTTCATCACATTGCTAAGCACAATGCACTGGGTTGGGGTTTAGTTTAGTGAGCGAACATTTTTTAAGTGATTATCCAGCACTCTGCTGGCTGCTCTACGGACTCCACCGGACATGCCCTGGAGGAACCTAGAACTCAGTGCGGAGACAAAAACCCACATTCATTGAGTTGATTGAGTTGATTCTGACTCATAGTGACCCTGTACGATAGAGAAGAACTGCCTCTATAGGTTTCAGAGGCTGTCAGTCTTTACTGGATCAAAAAGCCTCATCTTTTCTTCCTCAGTTCTTACATACAGCAGAC